ACAAAAAAAAAAAAAAAAAAAAAAAAAAAAAACACCGTACATGCAAATATTGGGTGAAGCAGTGCCTTTTTATAATTACAATGAAATTATAATTTGACAAATGCAAGTCAATTTCAAACAATTGTAACTAAGTAAAAGTGAATTTGTCCACTAGCTCAGTGTGTAAAGTTAGAAAGTTAGGTCAAATATTTTAAGGTATTTCCTGCATGTAATTATGACAAAGCTGCTTGTTTTCAAACTTTTATTAACTTATTAATTAATTTTATTAACAATAACTGGAAATATGCAAATAGCAAATTAATTAACTACAATTAATTTTGTAACTCCAGACGTTTCAAGAACTGTATGTTCTTCAATAAAAACAATTTTGAGAGAAAATACAAAATAAATATGATCTTTATTTATAACCTGATTTTGAGCTTTTTAGCATTTTAATTTAAATTAGAGTTGTATTATCTTAATATATTAATAATCATTTATAAATGTAATTAATTTTACATCATTCTGTTATAATAAATAGCTAACTGTGTGTGTACCTCTAAAATCCTGTCTCCTGTCTTCAGTGTGCCGTTGCATCCCGCTGGACTGTCCTCCAGGATGTGTTTAATAAAGATGCCCCGCATCACTTCCCCGTTGCTAAGGCGACTGCCCATGCCCCGCCCACCAACGATGCTGATGCCCAGAGATTTCCCAGCTTCCCTGTGCAACTCCACTCTGAGCAAACACACACAGAACATTCAATTAACATCCAGTAACGTCAATTTGCCAAACATTATGATCAATACATTTTCATGACTTTCCCACAGTTGTCTTCATTGATAAGTTTCTCATCATCATGATCCCAACTTCTGACCGAACAGCATCAAACTTTGCAAGCCTTAAATATATTTTCCAAGATTTGTTAAAAACTTACATTTTGTACCAGAGGTTCAAATTCAGTGCCATGTGGGATTTGATTCAAAACTTTTTGACTCAATTCAATATTCAGTTATTGAAAACATTCAATAACTTCGGTCAGGCATGGTTTGAAAATCCAATATTTGATCCAATACTGAGACAATATTTGGTGAGAAAAATATGAATGTATAAAGTGCCACATCTGATGGCCATTTTCAGTCAACGTTGTTCCTTGTGATAATATTTGTGCCAGCTGAGTCTCAAGATTATCAGGCCAAAATCTGGGGAAGATCTGATGAAAGATGCAGGACAGGTTTAAAACAACAAATGGCAATGAAAATCCAGAGTTTTAAATTTAGGCCAAGTTATTTATTTATTTATTTTTTTAAATCATTTACAACATATATGTAGCATATTTTTAAAATATATTTTGGCCAGAACAAAAAAATAACAAAATACATTTTTTTAAGCCTTCAAATATCATAATATATTTGCAAATGTACTTAAAAGAGCAAGAAAATACATTTGCGAATGCAAAATATATGTGATCCTTCATAAGACATGTAGTTTGGAGAATGGATGGATATATATTATATATTATATGTATTATCAACACATTTTTTGTCTGTTTCAAAAATAAATAAATAAATAATCTGTTTATAGCACACAGCATATTTCATCAAAAATCTGAAGACTGTAAATAGGTCATACGGTTATATGAAAAGCCCAATTTTAAACTTACGGTGGCGCTAGAGGGTTCGAGTGAGAGAGCCTAAAATTGGTCAGATTGATGTTCAGACCTTCCCTAATGAACGCACCAAATTTGGCTCCAATGAGGAAGTAAAATAAGAATACTAACAGAAACGGGTTTCTAATACATATCCATTCCTAATAGATATGCTCATGTTTTTCAATCACATGCAACTTATTGATCTGTCCTCACCTCCGTGGTAGATTCCAGCTGTTGGAAGCTGCTGTCTGTCGTTCACTCTCCTGTCCCTCTCCATCTTCTCTCTCTGGAAGATCTGAGGCTGTCTGACTAAACACACAAACACAAAGCTCTCATTTCATGTCCATTTTACAGCTCTACGAGTCAATGAGAGCTGACAGGATGAAGTGTGAGTGGAGTACGTACTGTTGAGTGTTGTTTTTGCCATCAGAGAGATCATCACTCTGGAGCTGCTGGCTCGCCCTGTATTCCTCTAAATATTCTGCAGGAACATACGTGATTCTGCACACACATAATCATAAGATTCATAAGCTATGATGACATTTGACTCATCAGACCTGTCATCAACACTGCCGGAATCAAACTCCAAAGGAATCTCCCAACTTAAACTCAATCAACAGCATTTGTGACTTAATGGCCACAGAAAATAGTTTCCAAAAATGCAAAAGTGAGTCAATCAACATTATGCAACAAATGCATTCAATTGAGCTTAACTGGCATTGATGCACATCTTGTTTTTCTGAAGTGGGTAATATATGTGATATAGTCTGCCCAAGGTAAAATCATTAATCAATCATGTGATTGTCAACAGCAGCCGGTGTTTTACAGGTTAGTAAATGAATGCCCCACAACAAGACATTTTTTTTTTCTTTTTGCATTGCATTGCATCCAAAAATTCAAACCAAAAAAAATCTGACTCAACAGCGAGCCTGATAATTTAGCTTGAATTTTCATGTTTCCGGATCAGGAGTCAAAACAGAAATAGTTTGTTTGCTTCATCAGTTGACTGTAAGTGAAGATGACAGATCTAATGGAGAAAAATCAAACCTTGTTTTGAACAATTCATGCATGCAGGCGGAGAGATCAAGACATTAGGAGTCATGGCACATCAATGTGAATCAAATATTCATTATCCACACGTTCAGTGAAAACGCTTCATTAATGAACGACAATCGATGGCTGGAAATCAAATCACTGACATGAGAGAGATGTTAGTCAAAGATGAACAACACAATACACACCATGTTAGGAGGAAACGACGGCCTGGAATGTTAACGATGAACGACAGCCTCTTGAGAACACGAATGCATGTTACCAAGGAAACAACAACCTGCTCAAACGCTGCTTGATGAGGAAGCGCAGCATCCTTGAGTTTGACTGGAATGAGTGTTTTACATTAGTAGGGTCAAACCTACTATGCAGTACAATTCAAATTTGCCTTAATATATCCTATCGCAGCTTAATGTAAAGATAAACCTACAAGTATGCAATAAGGAAGCCATTTGTAGGTTGACTCTCTCGAAAAATGTAATTACTCTGGTAACCATCATTATTTTTGCAATTCTATGGTGTAGACCTCACACACTTCAGCTTTAAAATTACAGCATCCGGTATTTTATCAATGTTCATAACAACTGTGCTGCTTAATATTTTAATAATAATAGTTTAATAATTGTAACAGCATTTATGTGAAATAAAATTTTTACTTTACTGCCACTTTTAATTCCAACAGTATATCTTTGTGTATAATATTATATACAACACTGATTATTATTATTATTATTATTATTATTTAATTGATTATTACTGTATTTGCATGACAAGATACTTTGAGTATTTATTAATTTTTGTTAATGTTAGTTAATGAAAATACAGTCATTCACTGTTAGTTCATGTTAATTCACAGTGCATTAACTAATGTTAACAAGCACAACTTTTGATTTTAATAATGCATTGGCAAATGTTGAAATTAACATTAGCTAAGATTAATAAATGCTGTAGAAGTGTTGCTCATTCTTAGTTCATGTTAACTAAAGTAGTTAACTAATGAACCTTATTGTAAAGTGTTACCAAAATATCAAATAATCACAAAAAGGTACTGCAGAACAGAAAGGACCCAATAATGCATTGAGCAGAAGAAAGCAGCTCACACAGGTTTGGACTGACGTGAGGGTGAGTAAATGAGGACAGAACTGCTTCCAGTCTTTGCGATTAGAAGAGAATGGAAGCAGGGCTGCGGGCGGCCCGAACAATCAGATTCTCCAAAACCTCTGCAGCGACAGAACAAAACGAACGCAAGCAGGGAGCGAGGACAGACAGCGTGATGAAGGCAGTACTCACACAGAGACGGGGCTCAGCTCTTCCCCCGCAGCAGCTGTGGATCTGGAAACGTGAAGAGCAGTTTACGGACACAGACGCCGCTGGCAGCGGGAGGCAGAATAAAGCGACTCACTGCAGCTAGAACAAGCTCTGGATCACCGCTGGGCACTGATAAGCCTTGTTTTATGACTGTCTGTTTCACCTTTTATTGTGAATGTAAATCCTGAGTTCTGCTGAGGTTGACGGCTCTATTGAATTGGCAGCACCCTTAAAATACGCCCTGATTGTACATACAATCCATTGTAATGGATTTTTCTTCCATTGGAACGACTCAAGCTTGAATTGCCACTGAAATGTAACCCCGGCTGACAAGCTAGATACACCGACTGTACAGTTTGGAGTGGGTAATGTTTTTTAAAAAGGTCTCTTCTGCTCACCAAGGTTGTATTTATTTGATCAAAAGTAAAGTCTAATTGTGAAATATTATTACAATTGAAAATAACTGTTTTCTATGGGAATATATAGTAAAATGTAATTTATTGCTATGTTTTCAGCATGAGTGTGTGTGTGTGTGTGTGTGTGTGTGAATCTCTGCATGTGTGTGTGTGTGTGTGTGTGTGTGTGTGTGTGTGTGTGTAAGCGTCTCACCCCAGATCTGGTCCGATCAGAGAGTGTCTGCGCAGCATGGCTCGCGCCTGAGCGTTGGTCAGGTTTCCCGTCGGTTCTCCGTTGATGGCCAGAATCAGGTCCCCGACCCCGAGCCGGCCGTCTCTGCTGATGGAGCCGCCGTGAATGATGCTGCGGATCAGCATCCCGGGACCGTCCTTCAGAGCACACACCGTCATGCCTGCAACACACGCGACCGGACGTTTTAATGCCACGCAGCTTACTTGGCTGTTTTCATGGCAAGAAATTTAAATTTAGAAAACCAATATACGGTTTCTAAAATTTGCTTTAGATAAAAAAATTCTATAATGCATTCAAGGTTGACCCTAAAAATGTCTTCATAAATGTTTGTGGAGCAATATCCTTTTCTAAGTCATCTTAAACCAGCACAATTGAATAAACTATGTTTAAGAGATGCTGGAATTTATTATTGGACATTGTTTAAATATGATCTGATCTTTATTGAAAATAAAGATGCAAATTTTCATGGAAAATCACATTGCTGTCATTACAAAGAAAGGTGAATTGAATTGGCCATGCACCCTATTGGAATCAGTGTTAATTTAGTATTACATACATTTTAATTATTATTTGTTAATATTTTTAATTGACTTTTATTTTTGTATTTTCAGTTTTCATTTTAATTTTATTTTTTCTTAGTACTTTTCTTTGTGCTTTTGTCATTTTATTAGTTCTTTTTTTCTTTTTTTTCTTTAATTAAGATTTAATTTTAGTCATTTTAGTACTTAAACATATTTTATTTCAGGTAGTTGCCAAAGCAACTTTTCTAATTTTCATTTTTTATTATATTTTTTTAGTTTAAGTTTTTCATATAAAACTTATATTTAATTTATTTAAGCTTCATTTCAATTAACAAAAATATTTTTATTAGTTTTAATTTATGAATAACACCACAAATTAGAATTGGGGTTAGAATTTGAAATAATTGACGGGAAGGTTTTACTGAACCGCAATTCAAATAAATTCAACACAGCAACAATTTTATGACTATACATTATATTTTAATCTATGATGCCTATTTATTGGCTTATTTGTTTACATTTACATTACATTTATTTTAGACTTGATATTTGAGTATATTACATTTTTTTAATTACGTTTTTTAGTCAAATTAAGTACAAAATTATATAGGTAGCATTTCAAACATTGATTACTAATATACTATATATTAATATATAATATAATATATAAATTAAGTACATTATAGTGTGAATTATGAACCTCTGCACATAGTTCCTACAGAGTATCGGTATCAGTATCGGTACACTATAGCTAAAGTGAAATTTAAAATGAATTGATTTACCTGCATATATTTATGTTTATTAGAGTACCGCATGGTTATCTTGGTCTCCCGTGAGGAGCACTTAGTAGTGGATGTTAAGTCAGCGTTGTAAAAAAATAATCTGCCAGGAACTTAAATGCACTTTAATTTGCAACCTTCTAGATCAAGAATGGGAGTCCATTAACACCTGTGACGGTAAAGCCGAGTGCGGATCTAAAGCGGTGTTAAGCAGACTCACAGGAATGCAAGATTTCCCTCAGCTGAAATTTTAATATCCTAATAGCGTATATTGGCAAAGCAGACGGCTTTGAATTGCTGCTCTGGGATAAAACCGTCCCAAACTGCTGCTGCACGATCCCACGGCCAAATCCACATCACAATCATTAGTGAAATCAGCGGCTGGGGAAAACTTCTCATCACATCGCCTGCTGCATGCATTCAGCGAGAAATGTTCCCTTCATACGGCCCTATTTTAAAGCGAGGTCACATTTACCTTTGCACAAGACTGCACTTGCAGAAAATATAATATTAATGAAATAAAAGTGTTATTTTAAAGTGCATTTTAAATTATGTTTTAATATTCTTTTCAATTGATATGATATTAAAGTAGACAGTGTTTTAGTATTTTAGTAATCAAGTATTTAAGAAATTACTAGTGCTGTCAATCAATAAAAAAAACTAATTTATTGCACATTTTTTTGTAATTGTGATTCAATGCATCTACGATTAAAATTTGTAATCATAAATATATTTTCACACTGAACCTCCAAATTAATGTAGAAACAAACCTTTTTATATTATAAAAATTGGTTTATATTATAATATAATTAAATATTGATATTTTAAATATCTGTATAATGGCATCTTTTAAATAAGTACTATAAATAAAAGCAAAAATCACAGATACCGATACTGATACCGATACCGATACTTAATTATAAAAAAAAAATACAATTTCTATTCTATTTTTAAATCAATACTCAATTTGATCAAATGAGTAAACTTTGACAATTAACATTACAGTAAATGTAGTCTGAACTGAAGTTACATATAACTTAAAAAATACATATAACTCCTAGAAATTACATATAAAGTGAAGTCCTATGTAAGTGAGTCAAAATCACTCTAAAGTTCAACTAACTGCATTAAATATAAATTTAAACTATAATACATTTTCATTTAATTGCAATTAACATGCAATTAAGTGTCTGAAAAGATTACATTCAGTCTATTCTTTTAAAGTATATTATTTCCTTTTTAAAAGCATACTAAAGTGTGCTTCTGTTTGACGAACACGTTCTCATACCCAGACTGGAGGTGCCCTTGACCACAGTGATGGTCCTCTCGAAGCTGCTCCCCGCCGCGGCGTTTAGCTGCTGGGTCTCGTCCGCGGGTTTATCTGGAAGCAAATCCTCCTCCTGAGAGGAGAAAAGGTCAGAATCCTCATCAAAGACTGAAGTCAAGGACAGCGAGAGAAGAAAGAGGTCAGCAGGATGAGCGGGATTTTGAGGGTCTATTATAAAGGTATTCTGAGTGGGTTCAGTTTGATGCCAGCACGATTAGGGGAAAAATGTAATTGCAATTGTTCTGATCAAATTTAAAAATGCTATTATTATTATTATTATTAACAATATAAAAATGACAGACATGTCACTGTTACGACGCAATTTCTTTGTTAAATTTAGAGTAATGTATTATTTATGTAAATGCAATAATAATAATAATACTTGTTATTATTATTATTACCACTACTACTAAAATAATAAACAAAATAATAAATATTGCTAGTGTAATAATTCATTGTAAAATTGAGTATTTAATAACTTTTAAAAAGTGACCTTTGTATTAATGTCAAATTAAAAGTTTTAATTTAAAGTACATTAAAATACACATCATGTTTTAATAATCTTTCATGGTGTTTTAAAGAAGTACACTTATTTTAATGTGTAGGCTAACATACTAAAGCACATGGAAAGTACTTGATTATCATTTTAACTTTTAGTGTTGTTCGATATTACATTTAAATTGTTTAATATACAGTATTTTAAATGTAATGAATTGCAACTTCATCATTATAAATTTAAATACATGACACAAGTTTCAATAGAAATTATATTAAAGTATATTTTAGTTGATCATAAATGCTTGTCAGTACATTCAGCAGTACTTTAACCATATTTCAAAGACAATAGAAGTAGTTATGAGTATAAAGTATATTTTCTGTAATAAGTACTGTTATTAAAAATATGCTTCTTTTTCACAAGGGCAGTGAAAGATAAAACACGAGTTGACTAAATCTGTTTAGGTTGGTTTACTAAATAATTTAAGACTGTATTTGATTGGTCAGTGTAAGCCAAGTGTAAGATGTAATTTGATTGGGCATGAAATGTGTATGTTTGAATCTGATTGGCTGCTGACTCTGTTCACCTTCGGTGTGGAGGCGGGTCTGTTCTTCTGATAGGTCAGATCAGCGCTGCAGATACTGCCGTGTTCAGCGATCATCGACTGCAGCATCTCTTCCTCCTCCTCCAGAAAATGACACTCAAATGCCTTTTCATCAGACAGGTCCAAATCACTGGAGTCGATCTGGACATAACATCAGAGAAATGATAGTTTTCTAAAGGCTACAAAAAATGTGTTACATTTCACATAGTTTGATAGGATAACCCCCCAAAAATCATCATGGACTTCAATTTTATTACATTTTCAATGATGCCAGATGTGTATCTTGCTTATCTTGGACTAAAATGATAATTTATTCATCCCAAAAATGGTGCTTATAAATGCTGACATAACGCTGTTAAGACAAATTTATACATATGTATGGAAAAAAATTTGCAATATTTTTTGGAAAATAATTTTATGGTAAAGGGATGTGTAATTATTCTTCAATATGTGTCTTTTTGAGTTCCACAAAAAAAATAAAAAAAAATAAATAAATAAATAAAAATATTGTGGGAAGTTCTCATTTCATTCCACGTGCATCACATGCTAAACTTGGACTAAAATTTCTGGTAACACTTTCTATGAAGCCCATATTTAGAATACATTATAAGGGTAATGTACATTATACATTATATACATTATACATTACAATGAACATCATATTAATGGACTATATCATATGTTGACATAGTTTAAGATCTGCACAGTATCCGTGTTGTGAGTGGTTAGGTGCAGAGTGCTGAAAAATTTCAATTTTAATCCAATCTTATCAAGAGACACGCATGGTATCATTGAAAATTTATTGAAATTGAAGTTCAGAAAGAATATTTCAAAGTCATTTTTGAAGAATATTTAATTTACGCAGCTCCTTACCATAAAAGAATTCTCCAAAACAATGTATATATTGTGTATTTTTTGATGAAAAATAAAAATTTGGTAACACTTTCTATGAAGCCCGTATTTATAATACATTATACAGATATTCTTAAGGTATTATAATGAATGCATAATGCATTATAAAAAACCTTTTGAAATCATCTCATGAATATTCATAAGAACAATTTTAATGTATTATGATATTTACTTATTTGTGGTTATAGCTTTTAAGAGTATGATGATTTATAGAACACAAGAACATGTTGCATCCACTAAGTTACAATGGATTATATTTCTCATAGTTATAATGTATTATAAGTCCCATATCTTGCCATGTTAATTATGTTACTTTACTTAAAGCAAACAAAGACCACTTATAAATCATCATAATAATAATAATAATTTGTTTTTCTTCAATTAATTGCAATTTTTCATCCCCCCCCCAAAAATTTATCTGCCTCTTATAATCGCTGATATATCATTGCTCCTACAGAACGTTGCACTAATAACATGCTTTCCAGAAGAATGCTTTGGTTGTGTTTTATGAGCACTGACCACTGCAGGTTCAGCACGGAACACAGCTTCATCCTCCTCATCCTCATCACAGCCCTCCATCAGCAGCAGAGCCGAGAAGATGAAGGAGGAAGAGCCATCCTCATCCTCAGTCTGTGAAGACAGGGAAGTGTCACCTCTCTAAACATGTTCATTCTCTGATGATGAGCAGATCACACTAAGCTTGAGCGTTACGACCAGAATGAGGAACTGTTTAACATGGTAACTGTATAAATTCCATATACTTAGAAAAGCTTGAGGTCTGTAAGATTCTTTTTTAAGGAAAACAATACTTTTATTGCATTAAATTGATCAAAAGTGATAGTAAAGACATTTATGATGTTAAAAAAGATTTCTATTTCAAACAAATGCTGCTCTTTTGAACTTTCTATTCATCAAAGAATCCTGAAATAAAAAAAAAATATCAAGACAGGGAAGTGTCACCTCTCTAAACATGTTTATTCTCTGATGATGAGCAGATCACACTAAGCTTGAGCGTTACGACCAGAATGAGGAACTGTTTAACATGGTAACTGTATAAATTCCATATACTTAGAAAAGCTTGAGGTCTGTAAGATTATTTTTTAAGGAAAACAATACTTTTATTGCATTAAATTGATCAAAAGTGACAGTAAAGACATTAATGATGTTAAAAAAGATTTCTATTTCAAACAAATGCTGCTCTTTTGAACTTTCTATTCATCAAAGAATCCTGAAATAAAAAAAAAATATCACAGTTTCCACAAAAATATTGGGCAGCACAACAGTTTTCCACATTGATAATAATCAGAAATGTTTCTTGAGCAGCAAATCAGCATATCAGAATGATTTCTACTTCTTCTTTTTTTTTTTTTTTTTTAAGTCTTTTAAAATGTTGACATCTTTTTCAGAAAATAATTTTATGGTAAAGAGCTGTGTAAATATTCTTCCACAAAAAAAGTAAAATACAAATTAATTCATTTAAAAATATATAAAATAAATAAATAAATGCCAGTATATAACTGCATTTTCTCTTTTAAATTTAAAATAATATATATGTTGATTTTAATTGTTTAAAATCCCTCATTATTCAGTTTGCTGAAATGTACAGTATAAACAGTAGCATAAACATCTTGAATTGTTTGAGACAAGTCTACTCTGTATTTTCACACTGTTTTTTGTTATTATGATGCTTTATGCAATAATGTAAAGCGGTCCTGCATACTGATGCTGTACAGATATATATTTACTGTGCTACGGCAGAATCTCATTTCATCATAACACCCAGCCCAAGATCACAATAAAAGACTGAATGTGATTTGATTTGGTTAGAAATCACTTTGCATGTTAGTAGTGCAAGGTTGGTTAGCGAGCTGAATCGTTTGTTTGTTGATTTCGGCATCATTAAACTAGATGATCACGTTGAAGATTTGATGTGCAAAGGTAAATAGGAAGAAATGCTTTCTCCGTTTTCATTCCGCTTCTTGGAAGTGAATCATTTGAACCATATTAAGAGGTGATGTTACCCTATCGCACTTGAGAGAGCAGAACAAAAGCGTCGGCATGCTCATGCAGTCTAAAGGCCTCTCGTGAGATTAAATCTTCAGAAAAAAAAGGCCTGATCAGATGACCTGCACTAAACTTGACAACCCACCACACACGCTCCAAACCTCAAGGCCTCGGAGGACAAAAAGAAGGAAAGATGCCAAAATGTGCACACAATCCCATAATAATGCAGCCGAGATAACAGCCTTGGAAAGTTGAAGAGGTTAAGATAAACTACAGCCCCTGAGAGCTCTTCACAAAGATACAGACACGCTCCTCCAAGAAGATTTCATTTCCTGAGGCCTTAAAGGAATACAGACCCGCGTCATGAAATATTCAAAGAACCTGCAAAGGAATCCCATTACTGCAGCCACGGGTTTCAATAACACAAAATCATACAGAGAAAAAAAGCTGCTTTAGAAACTAGAGGATAGTATTTCTTACGGGCAGGGGTTTGGCCACCCCGATGCGGACGGTGCCCATGTTCACTCCCTTCAGAGCCTGCACTGCTTCCTCCAAACTGGCGCTCTCCAGGTTGATGTTGTTGACATACATGAGACGGTCTCCTGGCAACAAGCGTCCGTCTCGCTCTGCTACGCCGTCGGGAACTAACGACCTAATCACTATTACTGTCTTGAGCGGGTCCATTGGGTCCTGTACACATATGAACACATACACACGCAAAGTGAGTATAACATTAACATTATTGGTTTTACTTTATTTCAGTTGGCCTCTTCAGACATTTTACTAGCTATAAGCAACTTTTCAACATCATGTTAACTAACTCCCATTAATTTGCAACTACAAGTCAACTACATGTCAACTAACTACCATTATTTTGCAACTACATGTCAACTAATTCCCGTTGATTTGCAACTACAAGTCAACTAATTCCTGTTCATTTGCAACTACAAGTCAACTAATTCCTGTTCATTTGCAACGTCAGCTAATTCCCATTCATTTGCAAGTACGTCAACTAACTCTCATTAATTTTCAAATGTCAACTATCTCTCATTAATTTGCAACTACATGTTGACTAACTCGCATTAATTTGCAACTACATTTAGACTAACATTAATTTGCAACTACATGTCAGATAACTCCTATTCATTTGCAACTACATATCAACTAACTTTTATTAATTTGCAACTACATGTCAACTATCTCTCATTAATTTGCAACTACATGTCAACTAACTCACATTAATTTGCAACTACATGTCGACTAACTTGCATTAATTTTCAACTACATGTCAACTAAATCCCATTAATTTGCAACTACATGTCAACTAACTCTCTTTAATTTGCAACTACATGTCGACTAACATTAATTTGCAACTACATGTCGACTAACATTAATTTGCAACTACGTGGACTAACTCATTAATTTGCAAATACATGTCAACTAAATCCCATTAATTGCAACTACATGTCAACTAACTCTCTTTAATTTGCAACTACATGTCGACTAACATTAATTTGCAACTACATGTCAACTAAATCCCATTAATTTGCAACTACATGTCAACTAACTCTCATTAAGTTGAAACTACATGTCAACTAACTCACATTAAATCTGCAGTCTGTAAGTTTTGTCTCTTTGTCGCCATATCTGTTTGAAACCTGCGATTGTAGTTATTTGCAGAATTATCTTCCTTGCGTGGGTTGTGCACCAGCTTGGCTCCAGCGTGCGGATAAATCTAATGTTTTGAGGAGTATGTGTGGCTGTCAGTCACCACACCAGTGTGGATACCGTACTTAGGAATCACATATTCTAGCCTACATCTAGGAATATATGACCCAAATAAGAATTTTGAGCAAATATTGTCATCCGAACAGCAAGTAACAAGTCTGCCACTTTTGTTCTGACCAACTGAGGAAAAATGCATTACAATAAATCACGCTACAATGGTGATTAAATCTAACGATCGGTTAATTAGCTCATATCACATCAAACCGCAAATTATTATTACTGTTATACTTTTTTCTCAAATTGTTCATGTTAACAACATCAGCATTGCGTGACTACGTGTATGTAGCGCTTCATGTAGATTTCAATTTCTGTACAGTATACTCTCTAATTGTCATACCACTCGAATTTCATATAAAGAAATTATTTTAACCCAAAAAGCAAATTATTCCTTAGAACTGGTTCTCTTTAAAATACAAAACTTGTGTAATCCCACGTATCTGTAATCAGATGCACATTTAAAACTGGAGTATAATTTAATTTCAGTCACTTGTGTTTCATAAACACATAAACCTTTTTGGATTACAATACGCCATCAAAATGATACATTTAATTATTCCAGCTGCTGTAAGAAAAGGCTATAAATGATCCGCCACCTGCAGCATCTTCACACGCGATAGCCTACTAGCCGGGACTCAATCTTTATGTTTACAGACGTGACGTAATGGCGCGGCAACATGCTCAAATTTCCCATGAATTCCTACCAGTACCACTCAAATTAGAAAACATTATTATAAGCTTACCGTTGTGAGTCAGGCCAAAATTAAGGCTATAGTTTTGAACACTGGCTGGTTATGTACTTGCTCAAAAATTTATTTAGTTTAATTTGTAACCAAAAAAAGTTATGGACTGCAGCTTTAATTTGCAAATACATGTCAACTAACTCTCATTAATTTGCAACTACATGTCAACTAACTCACATTAATTTGCAACTACATGTCGACTAACATTAATTTGCAACTACATGTCAGCTAACTCAAATTAATTTTCAACTACATGTCGACTAACTCCCATTAATTTGCAACTACATGTCAACTAACGTCTTGGTTACGTATGTGACCGTCATTCCCTGAAGGAGGGAACGGAAACATTACGTCAGTGACTGACGAATCGGGGATCTCGCCAGAGAACCCAATTAACTTCGAGTGTTAACAAAACAAGCCAATGAGTGTTGGCGTGTGAGCTTTGCGTCGCTCACCCTGCCACGCAGCGCGGGTATACAAGGAGAGCGCGTGCAGTCGCACATTCAGTTTTTCGCTGAGGAAAAGTTCGCAGTTTTTACCCGAGTTAGGGAACGCTACGGAAGCCACATCCTGCGTATAGGAGGTATTATGTGGAGATTACACGGGCTCACCGTGAGGGAAGCCTGTACCGTGGAAGAATACACATGTGGGATCACCCGAAAGGGAATCACTACACACGGGAACCTAGCCCAACACAAGGGCTGACCTTGGGCAAACACACGAGTGTGTGAAAAATAAATAAGTGAATAGATAAAGTGCTCCTCCCATTCATATGTGGTGGTCTAAATTTAGAAAGCTCCTCCCACTCTCCCACCTGATAATCCAGAATGCTGAAGCCCAGTCCGCTCTCTCCTTTCTCTAGTTCAATGTCCTGTATCTCTGTTTCCCACATCGCTAATGGCGTTCCGGTGGGCTCTTTAGTCACATGATCTTTCAGGCTGTCCTCTAATTCACCAGAGACCAGGAAATCCTCAAACTCACCCGGCACCTACACAAGCGAGATGAACAAAAATTTTCATTCTAATAAAATCCCTAATAATTGTTCAGAAGCGTAAGACATCACCTTACTTTAGCATATGTAACAGGGTGGATGCAAATTGTACAGCTTTTATTGATAGCTAACACATGTAATGCATTTGAGCATGAAGGTCTGTCTATATTTTATTTCTAAATAAACTTAAATATTATAGATATTTCTATAGGAGGTATTTCAACCATTGATTATTAAATGTCTATAAATACTCCATTATGGTCTATTGATAACTATATGATAACATAATAATTAATATTATAAGTACTTGTATTAAAGAACCTACACTTAGAGCAATTATACAAAATTCTTTACATTTTATTCTACTTTAATTTTATTGGTATGGATAAATTCAGATTAATAAAAGACTAACTGTACATTAATCTTTACATATTTAATCGCACATATTAAATCTAAACCGGAGTTTATATTTAGTAAACAATTTAATGTACCTGAACTATGGAATCAATGGCCACATCCTCTGGCTGTGATTGGTCAGTTTGGCTGTCAGTCATTAGAGGGGCGGGTCTACAGCAAACCATGGTCACAGAAACAGGAAGTTCTTTCAGAATGTCAACAACCTCTTTATGAGTCTCTCCTCTGAGGGGAATGCCGTTCACCTGAACAAACACACACAAACTTATAAATATATGAAACTGTTTTCATCATTGATAATAATCAGAAATGTTTCTTGAGCAGCAAATCAGCATATTAGAATGATTTCTGAAGAATCATGTGACACTGAAGACTGGAGTAATGATGCTGAAAATTCAGCTTTGATCACAGAAATCAATTACATTTTACAATATATTCACATAGAAAACAGCTATTTTAAATATATAATAATATTTCATGATAATACTGTTTCTACTATATTTTTGATCAAATAAATGCAGCCTTGGTGAGCAGAAGAGAATTCTTATTGGATCAAATTCCAGTACTAATTAGATTTTTTGATGCATATTGGTGGTGGGTTGTTTGCGATGGATGTGTTTTACCTCTAACAGTTCGTCTCCACTACAGATTTTTCCCGATCGCCCGACGGGTCCCTCAGGAAGCACTGAGCGGAGGATGTGACGACCGGCACACATGTCCAGACTGATCCCTAAACCGCTGTTCTCACTGAACTTCTCCACTTGAGCCACCTGAATACACATTAACACAGAATCACAACATCACAAACTTTAAAAATCCCTCATTCACTAGCATTATTCAATAGTACAATTAAAGTTGTAGGGTATCAGAATGAATCAGACAATTTAAGATTTGATCAGATTGGTGTTGAACAACCCAAAGAGCCAAATTCCACAAAGAGGCCCAGGATAACAAGACAACGTCATAAATCTGTCCAGATCCAAGCGCCAGCCAGTCTGAAGCCAGCCTAACCAACCAACTCCACAGTTTGAACAGCTTGCAACATTAACACAAAAGAACACTTATTGATAATCCCGACTCAGGAAGGAGATTGTCAATTTTGGGGCAAGTAACCAAAATTGATGGTCAAAGAGATGCACAGCATGACCATCACATGTAAATCCATGATAGTAATCATGAGCTAAAGACTTTCTTCGGATTGACTTCCCCCCACCTATGAGACAAGAACCAGACTAATGGCGCTTTTCCACTGCATGGTACGGCATGGTACGGCTCGGTACGGCTCGGTACGGTTCACTTTTGGGGGTTTTCCCACTGGGTACAGTACCTGGTACCTGGTACCTGGTACTTTTTTTAATACCACCTCGGTGTAAACTCTGCTGATCACGTATTGGCCGGAGAGAATCGTCACTATCTGCGTCACTGAACTTGCGACACAAACACAAAAGAACCGCTAGATTTAAATCAGCACAGAAGGATCGAACGCAACTGTTTTGAACGAGCGCACCTTTTTTTAACAACCAAAAAGTGGCTGTTCCCCCTGTTGAGGAAGTGCAGATGTTCCTCTCGTTGATAGCAGATGAGCGGATCCAGCAAGAGCTTGATGGGGCGACGCGGAATGAAAATGTTTTTTAGGAGTCGCGGCAGTAGAGGCGGCGCAACTATAACGACATGTGAATAATCCCGCCCACTCTAAAGCGATACTAAACTGCAGTGGAAACGCAAACCGAACCGAGCCGTGCCGTGCCGTACTGAGCCGTGCCGAGCCGAGTCGTACCACGTAGTGGAAAAGCGCCATAAGATTCCCTCTCCCATTTGACCTCTGCTTCATTCACAGAATGGCAGAGAGACTGCCTTTACATGTATATACATGCACCAAAATGATGCTAAAAGGACTTACGAGCAACTTTCACTTCTATGCATAACTCTATATCATGTATGTAACCCACACATTTGACTATCATGTCCTAATCACTTATTGTGTATGTATTTTGAATAACTATTGAATAGTTTATAGGATTATATTCATGTTGGGTATGTATGAGTTTGAAAATTCATGCTTTAAACGTCTCAATCAATCAATACTTTGTCAAATATATTATATTCTGATTATATAAATCATGTCCAAGTTATACTCTGCAAGAGCGGGAAAATTCGGACCATGTGACTGATAAAATAACATGCTGATTTATGTATTGGAAGGAGAAACATACAACACCCCGAGCTAAGGCAGTGTCTAATTGGTCAAGACACCATTTGGGATGTGTCCAACAGCCCGGTTTAAATACTCAGGACACCATCAAATTATGCTGTTTGCCTTGTCGGCTTTTAGCTGCCGCTTTTTGCTTTTGGTCATTGCTTTTTGCTTTATGCTTTTTGCCGCTGCTTTCTAGCGCTCTTTGAGCAATAGATGAAGCGTCTGGCTCTCTCTCTCTGGGGGGGTGGGAAGAAACCGCAGCGCGGGGTTCCGAACACTGAGAGAGAGCCGAGTTCCCAAAGCGACTTCGACGCAGCTCGAGTTCCTGAAGGGGAACGCCATCTAGTCTCATCACACTCTTATTCTCTTTCTTTTTCTCAGTTTATTTACTTTTCCGTTGAGAGTTTCGTGTTCGGAATTAAGTTTTGCTGCAACGCCGTGTCTCCAAGTTCACCTCGAGTCTGTGGCCGCCTCAAAACTTCAACCAGCCCACAACTCCGCAGCTTCAGCCAACGCCCAACCATTGGCTTCCCAAGACTTTACTTCAACGACTACTGAACTTCCAGCCAATCAACAAACTTGGGAAACCCCTTTCTGCAATGAGGGCAACAAGGGAACCCCCTAAAACAAGCAACGCAAGTACCTCCAGATCCTAGCTGAACTAGTGCAATTAATATAAATTTGAACTTCATTGAGGACTAGATTAGTTTATGCGTGTTAGATTTATCCAATAAAGTCTTATGCATATTGAAAAGAGAAGTATCTTGTGTTTTGTGCTTACAAGTTAATGTCTTAAACTGCCGATCTTGTTACTGTGCTAATTAATAGTGTTTTCACTATACTTTGGATATTAATATCCATTGCAGAATTGATGTTATACGGCTCGTTCAATGAATCGCCGGCCAACTCGTTGATCAGCCGTAAAACAGTGATTATGTCCAAATTCCCTATAAAATCAAAAATAGTTCCCTTTTGCGCTAAATTGACCTGTTTCCCTTACAAAGTTAACATATTTTAAACTTACTAAATTGTAAATTCATCATTACATATGTGTAAATACAAATATATTTAAGTACATGACATACAAGTTTCAATAGAAATGACATTAAAGCATATTTTAGTTCACCATAAATGCTTGTCAGTACATTCAGCAGTACTTTAACCATATTTCAAAGACAATAGAAGTAATTACATATAAAGATATATTCAAGTCATACTTAAGTTCAACCTTATGTTCAACTAATTGTATTTAATATAGATTTAAATTATGATATATTATCATTTATTTGCTGTTAAAATGCAGTTAAGTATCTGAAAACATTACATTCGGTTTGCACTTAAGTATATTCTTTTGAAGTATATTGTAATCAGTTCTCTTTTTAAAAGTTCGCTAAAGTTGGATTGGTTTTGTTTCAGTGTGTGATTGCGTGGATTTTGGATAAGCCTTAGTCTTGCTAACAAAACAAGCCAGCTGGCAGAGATTTAACTCTGAATCTACAAAGAGAGAAATAAATGAACTGTTTCTGAATTAAATTTCACAAGGGCTGGCCGGTTAAGCACACATAATAAAAATCTACATATAATAATCAGTCACATTTTTTACCTTTGAACTGCCATGGCAGAAATGTGACCCTGGCACTTCTCATTTACATAATAACAAAAAATACATATTTTTGGAAAACTCAGTTTTTCTCTAAAGTGTTCGGTTTGACAGCAATATTGGGGACAGCAAACGGATGACAAATTATACACATAATTACCAAATTAATTAAAAATAGTGAAATCTGTGTAGTGGACAAACCCAACAATATTATTTATGAAAAGGTGATTACAGAGACGCAATTAGAAAGTATGAAGTCATTGTTTTTCTTTCTTTCAAATCATTATAAAACCAAACACTAAAAATTATTGTACATGAAATTTTAAGTAGAAAGACTGAAAATTATTTTCTTGTAAAATATATGCAAATATTCAGTTTTTCTTACAATTTGGAAAATTCATTTGAAAACAAAGATTATTATTTCAGTAATTCTACAAAAAAATAAATAAATCATGTTTAATTAAATGTGTTTACAGGCAAGCAATTTCAGTTAAAACTGATCATAAGTAAATTTTTATTTATTTATTTGTTTAGGATTTACTGGGATTTAGTGGAAATAATTTTCACTCAAACTGCTAGCAAATTTCACAAATAATTACAAAGAAATGCCACATTTGAATTTTTTTAAGTTAAAAAAATAGTTTTAAGTAGTTTTAAAGGAATTTTAAGTTTTTTTTTTTTTTTTTTTTTTTTAATTTAAAATTTTTTTTACAGAGTACTTGGTGACTAAAAGTTCTTTTAATTAAAAGATGAAGCGTAAAGCAGTTACTCACAATGACTTCGCTGCAGACGCCGAGTTCATTCTGCCACTTCTGCATTAGCTGGTGCTCCTCCTCAGAGCTCAGCTTCACAGGACCTGAGAGAGACATGACAGCGTTACCCGCCGGTCTCTGCGAGTCGATTCGCTGATATCAGCGGTGAAATGACAAACATCTCTCACCGTGGCATCTGTCTGGAGCTCTGAAGGGCGAAGCGCTGACAGACTGCGGTGTGGCGTTTTCCTCTGGAGTGAGAAACACAGGAAAACACAGGGGCATCAGTGATGTGCGAGTCGCTCTTCATATAATAACAGGCTTCATGGGACTGTGATGAAAGGATGAGTGAGGATTTTGACTCTAAATATGGTGTGGCGGCTGACACATACACACAAAGGATCTACCAAACTAAAGTTAGATCTCAGCTCTGGCTTAACGTTTCTGTTGTAATATCTTCAAGTATTCTCTCTGTCTTCAGGTATTTATCAGGATACGATTTAAAAAAGACCCTTGGATTTTCTCAAACATGCAGAACACAAGACAGTAAGGAATATCGATTTTTCAGATCTCTCTGTGTGAACAGATTGCCAAAGTTGTTATTGCACATAATCACACACAAAAATAACTGTTTTAACTAGTTCCAGGTTGATAACTGAACACCACTCATATGTGGAGAAATGTGATGAGGTCATGTAGAAAACGGTTCGAAACTTTTATTGTGGAATGATGCCTAATGTTTCACGCAGTGTTATTATTGTTAACCAAAATTAAACATATTAAAAAACATTTTTGTTCATTAAAATAAAAATAAAACTAAAATTAAATTAAATTAAATGTAAATATTAAATGAAAAAGAAATGTTGCCTTTGCAACTAATTTAACTAAATTCAATTCACTTTAAGCATTAAAAATACTAAAAAATAAAATAAAATAAAGCTAAATAGAAATCTAAAAAAACTAATAAAAATTAGTCAGACTGAGATTAAATTACAAATGAAAAGTGAATATTTTTTATTTATATATGTTAGGATCTTAAGCAGTCTTTTTATTTTACTTATAAAAGTTATTAATTATAAACATCAATATGGAGAGCAGCGTATGAGTTTTAGTTCTGAGAACAAACACATTTTTTAATAAATATGTACAAAATATTAAGTCAATATAGTGTGGGTTAGGTTTTCACATCACGTTATTTGCATTGAGCTCAGCGGTCTCAGTTTCTTTACTTTCACATGAAATATCTCTGAGCTTTTGCTTCGGTGGAAAACTGAAGGAAGACTTTAAAGTTTCTGTGTGTAGATGGCAACAATTTTCAACACACGTCTCACTTTAAAACTGTGCTGTAAACCTCACAAAAATTCATGAAAAAGGTTCACAGGTTCAAGGCTGCTCTGATTGACACTGAAGCACACGGCTCATGCAGATTATACAGTCGTTTCATTAAACTGCAGCCTTTTGCAGTTCAATAATCACACTAGGCCACACTGCGGGGTAGATTTGATTGTACAGCCTTACTATTAGCTACTTGGACAAGCCAATGTCTTTCTGCATTCGTGGAGTGTTTAAACAGACGTGAGCGACTGATGTAGGCAGCTTCATTTGTTACCGTGCTTGGTGTTCGTTCGCTCCATCGTTGAGTTTCGTGATGCGCTGAGGGTGGGTGTGGTCTCCATGGCGACAGGTATGATTGACGGACATGCATCCTCCAATTTAAAGCCGCGTCGGACGAGCTTCAGGTTTACGGTCTGACCCGTGTGTCTTAGGACCTCCACGGCCTGCTGGTTAGTGTAACCCTGGATGTCCACATTGGCTATTGCTACAAATATACCCCAGCGACTTAAGACTGCTTTTGTGCTCCAGGGTCACATATACGTCCCTTTACCATCCAAGTCTCACAGATCAATATATATACTGTATATATATATGGGGGGATTTTCAGGAACAAAGTGATGGGATGTCATTCATTTTGATGACTAGGAATTATTATTATTATTTTTTTGTTTTGTTATATCACGTTTTTAATATGGATTTTAATTGCCAGGAAAATATAGGAAAACATATAAAGTATTGTTGTACATTTCAGAATATGTTATTAAAGAACAACAACCAAAATATAAAGTGCACATATTGTAATTAAAAAAATACTATATAATATTTGGGCAGTTACATACATTTGAAAAACTTTACAGTTTCTATGTTTTTATGCGTTTCTAGTTCTGTTTTCTCATGTTTGAAAGGATTTTAGAGTGCATTGTGAGATTAGAAATTATAGAAATTATAACTTTTTTTCTTCAGAAAAATGTGGGGGAAAATGGGAAAAAAAAATGTCATAAGATTCAAAAATGTTGAGTTTCTTTTTTTCTTTTTTATCACGTCCATTGTAAAATCAATCCAAAATTAAATAGAAAAAGGGCAATAAAAAAAAGAAAGTTCAATATCGTCAATTGATATGTTGCAAAAATGACTGAGAAACGTTTAACTTTATGTAAATGATTAGCGAGTTGATGGGGAAACCATCAATGATCACAGTATCTGTCTTCTTTTGTTGAAATTCAGATAAAAAAATAATCACTTTGTGATATAACTTTACCAATATATTTAATTACTCTTACTGTTATTTTGCAGAACCCATAACATATACTACACATGCACAATAACAATAACAGAAACACTTTCACCTGTCAGCATAGACACCTTTTGATTTTGATAAGCACTGCAACACAAAACATGCATAAACAAGATTTTCATCTGACACGTTCTTTGTGAAATAACTCACAGATATGATCTGATCTCCAACATGAATTCGGCCGTCTTGCTCCACCGCGCTGTCCCTCGAAATGCTCTTCACAAATATCCCAGAGGGCTCTGCAGTAGGAAATTACAGTCAGCAAAGTTTAAACGCTGCCTAAAATAAGGCACTCTAGAATGAGAATACACTTTCAGATGGAATCTGCCCACACTGAGAAAGAGAAACAGTAAACAACAAGCTTCAGGGACAGAAACATTATTTATATTATATATTATTTATATTAAACATGTTAGACATGTACTAAATCATGCTAACACATTATAGCAATGTGTAAAATCATGTTAAAACATGCTAAAAATGTGCTAAAACACACTAATTATGTTCATGCTAACAACATGTTAAACATGCTAACATCATGGTAGCAACATGCTAATCATGCTAAAAACATGTTAATCATGTTAGAAACATGTTAGCAACATGCTAACATTATGCTAAAAATGCTAATCATGCCAGCAACATGCTAATCATGCTATCAGCAAGCTAGCAACATGTTAGAAGCATGTTAATCATGTTAACAACACGCTAATCCTGTTAGAGACATGATAGCAACATGTAAACATCAGGGTTACAACATGCTAATGTTATAAACATAGTAGCAACCTTCTAGCAATATGGTAATCATGTTAGAAAACATGCTAATATTATGCTAAAAATGCTAATCATGCTATCAACATGCTAATCATGCTATCAACAAGCTAACAACATGTTAATCATGTTAAAACATGTTAGCAATGCTAATCATGTTAGAAACATCACCAACATGCTAATCATGCTTACAACATGCTGGCAACATGATAATCATGTTAACAACATGCTAATCATGCTAACAATGTGCTAGCAACAAGCTAATAATGCTAAAATATGTTAGCTAGCTATCTACCTATCTATCTATTTAAACTTTCAAACTTTCAAACTGTTTCAAACTTCAAGCTTTTACAACTATTTCAAACTTTCTAGCTAGGCTTTCTCAAGCAAACTAATTGTGTCTTGATGATTTTTTATCTAGTTTAAAGTATTATCTCCGTAATAAGTACTCTTTATCACTATACACTAAAATGAAGCAAACTTTATTTATACAACACACCTTTCAGACAGATTTTGTGACTACAGATTTTGCGTCACATCGATATGCAGCAAATCATAAAACTACATGAATATTCAACAAGCCGCATCTGAGGTATCATTCATGTCCAGCACAAACATTAAATGCTGAAGTTTAAGATTTAGGATTGGGCATAATTATAGTGATGCTTGCCTTCAGAAACGCCATTAATAAAACTATATAATAACCATTTGTCTGTTCAGTTTGCACATCAGTTCTGTTTATTAATATAATTTACTGTCTGATATACAGCTCACCTGATGTTTTGTCCCCCACATACCCCGCGATGGTGATGCCTAAACCCTGAGCGTTCTTCGTCAAGCTCACATCGAAAGCGCCCTGTTCCTCTTCCTCAAAACCCTGGCAGCAGACACAAACACAGATTATTACACAATAACAAGAACATTAACATTAGCAACTTTTTAAATATGGTTTGAAACAAGCTAATACCGCAAAACGTAATTCATCATATCAATTGCTAATTCTCAAGTGCTGTTGTTTTCCTACCAAAAACCGTCTCTTCCTGCAGGATGATGTCGTTAAAGATCAGCAGCCAGTTGCAACAAACTCATTAGGGTAAGAAAACTTTCCCTTGTAATTATTATTACTAGCTTAATGGGTTTGTTGCACTGGCCTCAGGCTTTCGTTAGTTACAGATAAAAGATTAACAGAATGAAAAGTGATATTGAGGACTTAATGCAATGATTAGTAATTAAAACAATATTCTCAAGAAAATATTTAATGTTATTAGAGAAAGGCAATATTAAGAAAAACCTGCAATATTTCCTAATAAATTGCCAGTTTTCATTTTAGAATTGGTACATAGGAAGACATGGCAAAAATTGCAACATCCATTCAAACCAAAGTAGATAAATGAATGGAAATTCACTCTTATATTCACTTAATTTTGCTACTCTGATAATAAAAAAATGTATATGATATCCATATTGATACAACAGTTCTTTCTGGTCCTCAAATCTGATTGGCTGATAAGAGTGTGATATTCAAGTGATATCGTAACTCCAACCATTTCACGTCTTGTATCACTCCGCTTGCCGTATTTCTCACAGTGAGTGTCATGGCGGACGCCCAAATCCACTGTAATTTTAAAAATAATACTGTTTTTGTCTCACGGAATGTAGTTTTAAGAGTTTTTAGGTGAGAATGTAGCTGTTTAGACTTCAAATATGTGGTTTGTTAATAAAGATAACGTCTATTTGAAAATTTGCTTCGACGCTTTCGGAGATGTGAGCTCCAGGACGTCAGCGGCCATTCTGCGCTCATGAACCCGCGGAGAGAGCGCCTCACCTCGGCCAGATCTTCTGGAATTTACCGCCGGCTCTGATGTCTCTAGAGTGCTTAAACATGAGATATAACTTGTTTAGGGTAAATCTAATGGGCAGTCTTTGGGGCAGTTGTGGCCTAATGGATAGAAAGTCGGACTTGTAACCCGAAAGTCGTGTGTTCGAGTCTCAGGTCCGGCAGGAATTGTACGAGGGGGGAGTGAATAACAAGTGCTCTCTCCACCTTCAATACCACGACTGAGGTGAGACCCTTGAGCAAGGCACCAAACCCCCAACTGCTCCCCGGGTGCCACAGCTCCGTGTGTGTGTGTGTTCACTACTGTGTGTGTGCACTTGGATGGCTTAAATGCAGAGCACAGATTCTGAGTATGGGACGCCACACGTCACTTCACTTTCATTAATCTATTATTTGTTCCAGAGCACATTTGCTATTGGCTGAGGGCAAAATCTCATCACATAATATTTTATGTAACTTCAATGCTGTAGCCTATATCAGAGCGCTGCCTTTGTACTTTTGACTGAATTGCCTAGGAACTTTTATGATGGCTGTTATTGTTGTTTATTAAATATTATTATTCATTAAATAATATTTCATACAAATAATAGTAGTATTTAGTATTGGGAAACAGTGTGTGTGTTCGTGATGGTGATTTTAGTTACATTGTTCCGCCGTTAGATGGCGACAAGAGACTGTTTTTATGAGAATCCATGGCGGAAGGAAGTAGTTCTGCACAAAAGTGGGCTTTTAAAGACACTCCATTGTTGTTTCTTATGTATTTACACACTCGTGCCTTCGAGCTGTTGTATAAACGCAATATCACACTCGTAGTCGTGAGATATGGCTGTATATCGGCACCCTGTGATTACCTACGGTAATCTGAAAGCTGAATAAATAAGCTTTCCATTGATGTATGGTTTGTTAGGATAGGACAATATTTGGCCGAGATACAACTATTTGAAAATCTGGAATCTGAGGGTGCAAAAAAATTTAAATATTGAGAAAATCATCTTTAAAGTTGTCCAAATGAAGTTCTTAACAATGCATATTACTAATCAAAAATTAAGTTTTGATATATTTACGGTAGGAAATTTACAAAATATCTTCATTGAACATGATCTTTACTTAATATCCTAATGATTTTTGGCATAAAAGAAAAATTGATAATTTTGACCCATACAGTGTATTGTTGGCTATTGCTACAAATATACCCCTGCTACTTATTACTGGCTTTGTGGTCCAGGGTAACATCTAGAGAGAGAGAGTAAATACTTGGTAGCTTTGGAATTGACTACCACTTTTGTTACTGGAATAGTTCACTCAAAATTAAATTTGCTGAAAATGCTGTAAAAGTGGTCTGGTCTAAATCAGGAGAGAAATCTGCACAGGTCAAGCACCGTTTACAAGCCAAAACAGTCCAAAACAGCTCTAAACAAATATGTG